GCCTTGGATGTTGTATTGTCGGAAGTCATAGGCGTACTTGTAGTACTCGCGGAACAGGTTTTCCGAGAGTAAACCCAAGGTGTGAATCCAGTACGAATATATGCTTCTATCGTGAAAGCTTGTTGGTGAGCTTCAGAGATTGTATGGGGTCGGAACATATTCAATGTAAACTGAATTTGTAGGCGGAGACCTCCTACAAACCTCATGACAAGTTGTAGTTCCGTATCACGAGTTTCAAAACGAGTGATTATCTTGAAAAAACTCGTTGCATACTCATCCACAGACTGATTACATTGCCTTAGATTCTGAAACTTTTGGAACATTAGCTGTATGAAAAAAACAATTTCTGCACCTCTTGCTTCAGTTTATCCCATGACATGATCTTCTATTTACCTAAGCGAGTACGTGTAGTTTTGGTTTGTGACCACCACACAACAACTCTATCTCTGAAACAAACTGAAGTCAATGGAACTCATCGATCAAGTGGAATGTCTTTGAATTCAAGGATTTCTTTGAGCGTCATAAACCAGTATAACAGTTCTTCTGCTATGGTGGAACCGTTGAATACCAGGATATTAAGTTTAAAACATGATTTCCAAGATGATTCAATGTTTTGTGGCTGGTGTTATCGCAGTGGAGCAAAAGGGTTGTCTTCTTCTTCTTCTGAATCAGAAACGTTGTTGTTTTGTGTGTTACGTCTATGGCGGAGTGCGGGTGTCGTGTTCTGTGTGGATAGAGCATCTACTTTATTCATTAGAGCCGCGACCTGAGCTTGTAGATCATTCACAGACTATCGTGTAGCCAGTGTGTCATCCTCAATGTATTTTTGAGATTGTGTTTTCTGAACCATCATAGCAGTTAAGAAGTTTTTGAGTGTATCAAACCTCTGATACCAACCAGGCGCAGCGTACAAATGGGTGAACGGTTGATCTATGAACTTTGGGTTCTTTGAGACCTGTTCTTGGATCGATCTTAAGTTTCAGCTTCTCATATATTGACCTTAATCACCTTTATAGCTATTGTAAGGAACATGATTCAAAATGAGATTGACTGAAAGACCAGACGCAGCAAAGCCATTTAGAATGTTCCCATTTTCCTTAGCATATACTCTCCCGATGGCTAGGCTACCGGTTTCTAGTATTATTCATACTGACTAACAAGTTCAAAGAAGGGTCACAATTTTGCAGAGGCTTTGAAGGGATTGGTTGGTATGCTTCGTTACCAATTTGACATGAGGACATTTGGTGAGTTATATGGTAATGAAATTTATGAGGATTTTGATTGAACTAAAAACTTTTGGTGCTTCTTACAAATTAATACAGTGAAGGGTCTAAGGTTTAAACAAAACAAAAGGAGAAATTTAAGTTTTGTTTCTTATAGAACATTGAAAAGCTAGTCTAGTTCTTAATCTTTTAAACAATTTGTTTTTTAATTGATCATATTTTGCTAATTCTTTGGTGTATTGATATATAAATGTGGCAAGAGGTTACATTTTACATATACATACCACTCTAGTTAATGAAAAAGCATAATAGAGAGATCCCTTAGGAAGGTTAAAAAGATTTGAGATTTAAACATGACCACCAACGATAACAATGGCAAGTAATGACGAATCCCATAGAGTTTGTAGGCCGCTAGAGTCTTTGAGAGCCGTGAAATTTGTATGTATCTTATTAATAACTTATTTCAGATTCTCCATCGAGAGCGCATCTTGTCAAAAACATATAAAAATCAGACATTTTTCTCTGTCTTGCTTAAATTGAGCATCATTTACTCTGCTAACAAAGAGTACTTAAAACTGGAAGGAAGCCTTTTCTAAAAAGGGAGCAACGCCTGGACAATCCATCTTAATACCATCAGGATCCTCTCCCTTGTGTAGGGCCTTATCAATATCCTCTTCAGGTTCTTCGTAGTCTGCATTGTTTGTGTCAGGTTATTCGTAGTCTTTATCGTTTTTGTTTGTAGCAGAATCATTCTTATTCAACCAAGAGTCATCGTCCTGCAAAACCACTCTTCAGTTTTTCCAAAATCTCAAACAAACATAGACGACATCAAATATTTAGAAAAACAAAATTTAGACATTGTCATTTCCATATCATATGTGTCATCACTGGAGTAATCTTCGCAAACGAGTATTGACTTACATACACGCCTAACCTCTTTCACCTTGGTTAGAACCATGTCACTGAAGTGAAAGGTTTCATTGCTGAAACATCAAGTCAACAATCAGAGAGTGAAGACAAAGTGATTCAGAAAATTCGTGTACATCAACAAGGACATGAAGAAATTGGTGCGAGCAAACAAAGTTAAGAAACAGATGAGCCATGTGTCAATACAGAAGTGCAATGTCATGAATGCGGAGGATATGGAAACTTCAAAACCGAGTGTCCAACAGTCAAAAGAAGAAGAATTAAATGCTTCATGTGCAGGAATCATACTCATTCAATATGAGTGTGAACACGATGAGAAGTAGAAGAACGATAAATTGTTACTAAGGATAAGTGAAAATGAATCAGAAAAGGAAGAAGTGATGATCAAGAGATATCGCAATACAAGTTAATTTGAGTCCAAAAGTATATAGTTCAAATATTTGAATATTGGAACCCTTCTGATCAAAAAATATCAAGAGTCAACTCAAAAAACATATAAGCAACAATATGCCATAATATAGTGACAAGAATAAAATAATCAATGTGCATCTTCTATATCATGCATATGATTTAAAATACATTCTCTATAAAAAATATGTCACACTTATGTGAATCAAAGACAAAGCAGAAAAAAATAATAGCGTCTAAAACATGGTACATAAAAGTAATAGTTACATCAAGCAACAAAAAAGGGAAAGTAAGAAAAATTTTCATGCAGTTTCAACCAAAGTTGTTTTCTGATGCAACAACAACAAGAGGAAAACCAGGAAACATATGAAGCAACCGTACACCATAAGTAGTGGTCAATGTGAATCTCCTATATACCTTCTTGAACCTGAGAAGCCATGTGTTGCTGAGTCTCTTTAATTTGATCACATAAAGTCTTGGTCAAAGAAAATTTGCATTCCATCCTTCTCGAAAGTTTTTCATCCTCTTTTGGCATCAGCATGAGGTTAATTAACATTCTTATTGAAATCATTATGCAGTTTTTCTTCTAAAGAAAACCTGACCTTAGTATCCATTTATTTTTCAGTTTAGAGTAATTCTGCATCTGAAAAGAGATGATCAAATAATAAAAGGTAACAACAACTCTATAACAAAAAAAAGATTCGAAAAAACTAAACAAAGATCCGATGGAACTGCAAGAAGAAACAATCCTAACAACACCATCATACATATCTCTTAACACCACATAGATAAAACTTTACCTTGTATAGATTCGACTTGAATAAGCACAATCCTTAGCTAGATACAACACGAAACAGACCTTTTAAGCACACGGATCAAACTTAAGCTTGTATAGATCCGACTCAAAAAACACAATCCTAGCAACACCATCATATGTTCCTCTTAACTACATGGGTCAAAGTTAGGCTTGTATAGATCTGACTCGAATAAGCACAATCCTAAGCTAGCAACAATATCATACACACCTCTTAAGCTCATGGATCAAACTTAAGCTCAAGATATAGAACATATAAGGCATCAATGTTTGTGTCTCTTAACATAGATGAAATTATCTTTCATGAAGTTGTGTGTATGGTAAATGCCCATGAGATGGAGCTAAATGGCATGAAAAATCATACAGAAGTCAAAGGGGCCATTATTGAAACAGTAAGTCAATAATCAGAGAGTGAAGACAAAGTAATTCAGATAATTCGTGTACGTCAGCAAATACATGAAGAAATTGGACTGAGCAAACAAAGTCAAGAAACAGACAAACCATATATCAATACATAAGTGCAATGTCATGACTACAGAGGATATGAAAACTTCAAACCTGAGTGTCTAACAGTCAAGTACACACTCAATATGAGTGTGAACATGATGAGAAGTGGAAGAAAGATAAATTATTACAATGGATGAGCGAAAATGAATCAGAAAAGGAAGAAGTGATGATCAAGAGGTATCACAATACAAATTAGATTGAGTCCCAAAAGTATATAGTTCAAATATCTGAATATTGGATCCCATCTTTTTCTTATTTATCTTTCTTTTATAACTATTTTAAGGTGGATCATAATAACAATTTTTATATGGTGTCACTAAAATGGCTTTCAGTGACATGACTTCTTTTACGTTTTGTGTTGACCAAGGTAAAGTTGTTGTTGTCCTCTTTTAAGATTGGCAACATAAAACTATTTTTTTAATATTTAATTTGATGGATATATAATAAAATAATAAATGTACAAACATAACAAAATAATTTTATTTTAATTAATCAGTTTTGTTTAACGTTAATTATATAGATGATTCTATAGTTGATAATTTAACAACTTTGTCAGAATTCACAATTAATTATAACATTGTAATTGACCAATAAAATCTATGTTCGATGGTACATCGAACATAATTATTATTATTATTTTTAGAACAAGTATATCCAGCATAATTAATCAGTTTAGTTCGGTTGAAAATATGAGGATGTAAGAGCATGTCTATCAGTAAATAAGAAGGGATTCGATTCTCAAGTTGCTTTTTAAAAAAAAAAAATCTATTTGAGTTCTATTTTTTTTAAATAATAATCGAATCAGTCGCGGGCCGCAAGTGGTGTAGGACCCATGAAACAGTGATGAACCGGATTTATTACCAGGATTTCGCATGAGACATGTTCACTGTTTTTGATTATTTTAATTTTAATTTTTTTTTTAAGAACGTGTGAATCTCTCATAAGGTTAAATGATGGTTGGACATGGTCTAACAAAATCAACAAAAAGGAAAACCAACAAAAAGTTTGGAGACACAAAGTTCGGTGAGAACCCTCTAGACGACGCAGAGACTTAACGCGTAACTTAAAAAGGACTTAGGGTTTTGGCTTCGTGATAAAGAAAATAAAAAAAGTCTCTGCAATTACACACAGAGAGAAGAAGGGAAACTCTGAGATCGGAAACAATGGATTCTACACTTTCGTTGAAGCCCAGAGGAAAAGGGAAAGGACCAAAGGGAGCTTCCTCTTCCAATAACAAATCCAAGTTGCAGCTCCTCAAGGAATGGAGCAACTGGTCTCTCAAGAAGGCCAAAGTCGCCACTCACTACGGATTCATCCCTCTCATCATCATCGTCGGCATGAACTCCGATCCAAAGCCCCATCTCTTCCAGCTCCTTAGCCCTGTCTGATCCGAGATCAATCCATCTTCTCCGGTTTGGCTTCATATCTTTACGCCTTAGTCTTGGATTCGCTGAATCTTGTTTATGTTTTTCAGTTAACTTGTGAAATCGAAATTCGTGTTTTGAATCTCTGTTTGCAGTTTTTTTATACAAATTGAATCAGTAATGATCAAATAAATACTGCTTAGTTTAAGCTATCACTCTGCGTCAAGTGTTTGAATGTCTTGTAGCATCTTTACAACCTCTGCTGCATGAGGTCGATCTTGTGGCTTCAAGGCAACACAAGCCAAACCTATTTGCAACATCTCAACCATCTCTTCCTCTATACCTATTTGCTTCATTAGCTCTATGTCAAAAACTTCTCCGGTCCACTCTTTCGTCACCACTGACCTTATCCAGCTAGCCAAGTCCATGTTTTCCTCACCTGATAGCTGTGGACTCGCTGGAGATTTCCCTGTTAGAAGCTCCAGTAATACTACCCCAAAGCTGTATACATCAGAAAACTGTGTGCACTTTCTTGTGTCTGTTACTTCAGGAGCGTGATAACCGGAAGAACGAATGGTAGTCCGAGGGAGAGATCTCGTGATTTCTGTCAAGCCGAGGTCGCAGATGCAGCCGTTGCATTGTGCGTCTATGAAGATGTTGGAAGATTTGATGTTCCCATGGACAAGCTTCCTGTCATCTGCTTCATGGATAATAGCCAATCCTCTTGCTGCACCAATCACTATTCTTAATCGACACTCCCAATCTAGCGATGCTTGGTTCTCACCTGCAAAGGTTGATTGAGTTCTTGATTTTTCTTTTGACATAGACAATGAGGATATAGAGATAACTTACTGTGCAGCATCTCGAAGAGGTTTCCTTTACTGTAATAGCTGTAAACAGCAAGCTTGTCGTTCTTGGAATAGTAATACGCTTTTAGTTCAGCTACATTCTCATGCCTGATGCCACCAACAATCTCCATTGTTACCTCAAACCCTCTTCTTCCAACTACCACCCTTTCCAGTCTCTTCACTACGACCGTGGCTGTATCATCCACAGCTACTTTGTAGGTTGAGCCAAAAGCACCTCTCCCCAAAATTTCTGCAGAGGCAGCTAACAAATCATCCAAATCAAATGTGTACTTACTTCCTCCAAAGAAGACGATTCTGCCTTCTTCATCTTCATCCTCTGGCTCCCAGTTACCTGAAGGAGACAAGTCTTTCTTCTTGGACTTCCAAGAGAGCTTAGCTTTCAGGTACCGTTTCTTTCTTAAACACCAAGCCATCATCGTCTGCACGTTACCAGCTAAGAAAGCAGATTATGCCTCAGACTATGAAGATCCAAAACAGATCAAGAATCAGAAGATTCTTCAAACCCTTTAGAAAGTTTGGGGTGCTCTCGTTGACTCCATTGTTTAGACAGATCAAGAATCAGAAGATTCTTCCAGGCAGATAAATCCACAGAATCACTCCAGGCAGAGTTATAAAGAACAAAATGGAGAACGAGTCTCAAAAAAGAAAAGAGTTATCAGTCAAAAGAATTATCTCGGTTTCCCACTTATAAGAAAGTAAAGAAAAGTCCAAAAAGAAATCTGCATTGCAGAGACGAGTCTCGTCTTTATCTATAATCGAAAAAAGTGTTGTCTCTATCTGTCACATAGGGAGAATCTTTTGTAACAAAAACTGAAATTATAGTCTAATGAATTAATTTAAAATTGATACGCCAGTCGGTATGCCGGCAAAATCTTGGTATCCAATTGGAGAAGCATGTAAGCCGCCGCAAACACAACGTGATCGTGTTTCTTCCATTAGATCTTCTTACCTAGGCCTGGGCAAAAAAAAACCGCAACCGAAAAACCAAACCGGAACCGAATCAAAATACCCGAAACTGTAATCGGACCGAAATGGTTCCTATATTTCTATACCCGAAAAACCAAACCGGAATCGAACAAATAACCGAACGGGTATCCGAATATCCGAAAAAATAAGTTAATTTTTTTAAAATAAAGATAAAATGACATCAATGCCACTTGAACCCATGTTAGATACAAAGAGTAATTAGTTTTTGTCCACCAGATCACGTTATATTTTATTTATTCTGTTATATTATAAATATATATGGTATTTCTATATTAAAATATGATAAATATTTATAAAATTAACACTTTATTGACTCGAACTTTTGTTGGATTGACTAATATGTAAGCGTGTAAACACTAGACCATTTAAATTAACATATTTACCAATATATTATGTTTATATATATTTTATTTATATATTAAATGGGTACCCGGAACCGAATCGAAACCGAACTGGAACCGAACCGAAATCTCATAAGTACCTATTGGGTATAAGAATGATTTATCGGATACCCGGAACCGAATGATTCCTATCCGGAACCGAACCGAATATCCGAATGCCCAGGCCTACCCAATAAAAATTTATCTTTTTTTTATGTTTCTCTTATTAATTTTAGGATTTATTAGTGAAATAACCAAAAAAATAAAAGAAAAAATAGTTTTTTTAGAAAGATGGTCGAAAGATAGAAAGAGAAAAAAGGAGAGAATATGGAATTTTGGTTAGAGTGATTCACTCTTTTTTTGTGTTATTAAACGTAATTTACCTAATTTATATAGGAAAAGTTGGTTTTTAGATCGAAAATATATACATTGTATCAATAGATTAAAACTAATTTTGCACCACTTTTATCTATAATTTTTTTGTTTTTTTTTCCAAATAAATTAAAATAAACAGTTTTACAAACCAAAAAAAGCTTATGAAATATAGGTAACAGTTAAATAAATACTTATACCAATGTAGTGGTATTTTTTTTGGATTCTAAAATTTGTTAAAATAAAAAATTAGATTTTATTTTATGGACTATATATTTTATGTCTACGAAAACTGGCTTAGTGGAAATCGAAATCCATGTTTTGTTATTGAATCTACTTTTCCTAAAATAAGTAAGTTACCTAAATAAAATTTATCTAAATACATTTGGAATTCACATTCTGCGTTTAGCCTATTACTCTAAAATATTTAGAATGAATAATCTACAGTCGACTCAAATCTAATATAGTAGAAATATATTTCAAACCTGTAAAACTGTATTCTATAGATAGTATAATAGAATATCGATTCAACGGATAATTATGAGTGGTTGTGTAAATGGGAAGTGATAATTATGAAAAAAATTGCAAATATTTTGTTTCCATATATGAAAAAAAATCAAATATGTGAACAAAAAATAAAAATTAATGTCTTGCTATATTGAAAAAAAAAAATGAGTTTATTTGAATGTTTATTTAAATTTTAGTTATTCTGTTTTAGTACAATGTTTAAATATATAATAATTATTTTATAATTGCATTTTTGAATTTACAATTATATTTTAGAAGGACAAAATTTTGGTTTTTGGTGAACATTAGCTTAATAGGAAAATTCTATGTTGGATTTATCCCATAAAGACAATGTATTTGTTTTTCGAATATAAAAAACAATTTTCCCATTTATTTATATATTGATATAGGTACCAACAAATAGAGTAATGGGGCCATAACCTATGGTGAATGACACCTTCAAATTCTGAGTTGGTGTTACAAAACAGGAGAACGATTTATAATTCCAGCTGTTTCAGATGTGTCTGTCAAACTAACTGCAGAAAGTTTAGTGTTGGTCTTCCCTCGTACACTAGCACAACGGAGAACAGGGCAATGAGCTTAAGGTAATTTGGAGACACTCCAATGAATATCCTTTGACAAAAAAAAGACATTCCAATGAATCTCTTATCAACTCTCTTTATTTTATTATTATTATTTTTTATTTTTTATTGCTGCTCTTTCAACGACTTATTCGAAACCGTATTTTCGTTATTTATGTATGTAGGCTTCCAGCTGTGGTGCATAATGCGTGAATTGTCAAATCTTATCCTCCTAGAAGCTACATTCCCTTAGTTGCTCCATCTACCATAACCTTGCTCTCAATCGTTAGAAATATAATGTTTCAAAGCAGTTCTTGTACCTGATGGCAGTCATACACTAGCAGAAAATGGTAAAATTATCCAGGGTATAAACATTGGAAAAATGGGTTGGCACTCGGCCGAGTGTGCCAGAAAGTACAAGCAGACGAGCTTAAAGCTAAATAAAGGAAATGTTAGTTTCTAATTGTCAAGCTCTGATGGGGAGTCTCTATCTCCCTCTCGGTCTATCATGTCCCTCTTTTATAGCATGAGTTCATTTTTCTGTTTTCTCTAAGTCGATATGACCTAAGTGATTTAGGCTGATGCCTTAGGCTGTGCATAATGGGCCAAACTTAATGGTCCTAGTTGGGGATTATAAACCAAACCATTATATTCAATGGACCTTGTCAAGGGGTATAATCTGTCCCCAACAGTAAGTATCCATGTTCATTTGTGAGAGAGGTAGTTGGTCTCAATGAATTAGTAGGAATAGGTCTTGAGAACAAATGACTCGATTAAAGATACTTTTTCTTAGAGACTCGCTTTGGGGTAAAAAAGGGTGGGAGGTTACCATTCACTCGACGAAGCGATTTTGTGAATCGTGACGAGGGGGACTGCGGCAAACCGTTTGGAGAGTCATGACAATCATGTTCACTCAGAAAACCATTCGATAGTCATGATGAGTATGATTGTCACTCGTTCGGCATCCAATTCTGGTTTAATCTGGTTAACCTCTGAGCCAGCACAATTTGGATTTGGTTTGATAGATTCATCACTGAAGTTAATCCGAGAGCCAGTTTACTCCGAAAAGTGTAATCATCACCCCTATAAACATGGGAAAAAGGTGGTGCCCTTGGCCTAATAGGCCTAATAATGATGTCATCTTAGAGAGTTTTTCCCTTTTACTATAAATAGGTGACCTCACCTTTGGTTCTTAAATGATCTCCGCGTTCAAAGGTACTTTCTCTATATCTCTTCTCTACTTTTAGTTTATTTTTCCGATCAGCCACAGTGTGTTAGCTCGATTTCTCCGATTGGCTTGTTGTTCATCATCTGTTCCTAAAGAGGAGATGTCGTCGATCCATAAACTCTCGAGATCCATAAATGAAAAGTTAAGGTTACTACTCTGAGCCCAGATCGGGATCTCCAAGGTGGTTCGAGTCCAATTGATTGCTCAGCAAAATCCCATCATGATGCTCCAAGGGACATTGCCGAATTAAATATTGATCATATCCAGCTGGTTCGTCATGCCAAAGGAACATATGAGGGAGTATGGGGATGACCAGCCTTCAGTTGACGAGGAAAATGTTGTTGTAGATGACGCCGAGGAAAAAATCATTACTCTTATAGAAGACAAATAGGAAAATTCGGGTAAAGCAAGAGGTGCTGAAGAAGAATCTGACCCCATAGAGAAGCAGCTCGTGAATACAGGGCATATATATCGTAATGGGAAGTTCAACATGTGCCTAAACTCCCTTCAGAGTTTATTCACCCATCAGTTATGGAAAGGCAAAGCTGGGAGATGTACTTCCTACATGGTCTATGTTCGAGGAGTGAAAGCGCTGCTAAGGGAACGTAACGCTCCTACTGGTTTTACTTTTACCATTCTGAGGAAAGACCAGCATCCATGGACTCCTCTAGTTGGTTATCAGTGCATCTATCAGTCGTACTTCATGAAAGACGCAAAGCTGTGGTTTCCCATTTCTCGGCTAATACATCGTATTTTCCAAGCCGAGCTATTGCCATGAATCTAGTGACGAGAGCGATCAGGATCGTCGTCGTGCTGATGGTTATGGCTGGAGAGATAGATGTGTCCCTGAACGTCCGGGTCTTTGAAGAAATGACACATACCCAGTTCTTTATCTCGGTGAGGATGGGAACAAAGCTCCACATTCTGACAATTTAGGAGAGTAAGGAAAGACTTCCTGAAGATGATCGATAGAATCCCACGGAGGAGAGGCAGAGGAAATCTGCCCGAGAGAAGCATATAAGGTTTGCCGAAAAGCGACAAAAAAGATATGCCGAAGATAAGCGAATATGATCTACCGAGGAGGGGAAAAACAAATCGTATGTGTATATATGTTTTTTGTTGCAGCTGAACCTGTTAAGGCTCCCTACACACCCCTATGGAGGATCAAGCCATTCGTAGATCCTTTTTTTCGTGATATGTGAAAGTGGCGAGGAGAAGGTGAGCCTGTCATTCACTTGGCAAACGTTTTATTATAATAGGAGTGCCTTTTAGTTATAGTAACACTTGAGTTTCATGGAGTTCCATGACCTCATCACGGGTCGGATGATGTCTGAAGTCGATATACACCTGGTTTGATTACT